ATCGCTTCCTCTTGTTCTAATAGTAGGACTTGACACTTTGTTTGCCAGCGGGACGGCGCTTACGCCTTTGAATCCCACGCCCCCTTGCCCCGTCCCCGCCTTCAGTAATCAACGCATCCGCGCCGATACAGTAAACTACCGCCTCCGAGAACATTCCACACACCCTGTATTCTCTTACTTCCTTCCTAGTGCTTCCATTGCAAAGTGGCACCGGATCCTGTGTCATGACAGATTTTCGATCATCAGGTTAAAGTTAGAATTGGGGGATATCAGTCGAGGCTCTGTTAATGCGGGAACAGCATTCTTCCCCCCCCCCCCCCCCCCCTTCATCTATCGATTGGCCTCAGAGGCCCAAGCAGCATGGACGCGGTTCAGATCCAAACACAATTGTCCGTACTCTCCTGAACGTGGTGGATTCTTATTTACACCCGCAGAAATGCCAACTACTATTTTAACTCGGCGTCTTTCAGTGGGCTAAGTGCAACTCTTAAGATTGTACCACGCGCTCACATTTGCGTTAGCGATCCTCTTTTATGAGTATTTCCTGACTCTGGACTGGGAAGTCTCGCGATTTTGGGGAAAGGCCTTCACGTTCACATGGGCCAATATGCTGTTCTTCGCAAATCGATATGGCACTCTGATAGGGAATATTCCTGTCGTCGTCCAATATTTCTGGACCACCCCCAGCACGCCTGAGAAAATTGCGGTGAGGGCTAAATCCTTTGTGCTCTGCGTGAGTCCTAAATCGTAGGAGATGTCCGTTCCACTCCATTTCGTGGAATCGTCCCCAAATTTTAACAGTTCTCGATTTGCAGATGTCTGCATCTGGAATTATACCACCAGTACTTCGTCATTGTGACTCAAATAATGGTTGCAGGTACGTCTGGTTCTCCTCATTCATATATTCTTGTTTACGAATCGCAGCAATGCTCATTCTCCGGACATACGCACTATATGAACACAACAAGCGCCTGCTGTCCGTGATGCTGATTATCACGGGCGTAGTAATTATTGTCGGCCTGGTACGTTGCCATTCGACTGGAATCATCGAGAGTGACATGGTATGTCGTGCAGTGGGCTGTCATCGCCGGAAAGGGTGTAGACACCAGCAACAATCTGCCGTTGTACATCGGGTGCAACTACCCAGTCGGTCACTCCCAGTGAGCTCGAGCCTTCGTTTATCGTTTCTCAGCTGAACTAGGGCCATTCAAGGGGCAGAAGTCAGGCTTCAGCGTGGGCTGGAGTAGCCGTGTTCGACTGCATGATATTTTTTCTTACTTTGAACAAAGTCTTCAACCGTCATCGAGATGGCATGGGCCTCGTCACTGTATTATTGCGCGATGGTATAAATTCCTCTATGCCATCTCCTCGGCGTTCTGATGCATCTCCATGTCCAGGCTCCGTATACTTTGGGTGGGGAATTCTATCAATATTTCAAGGATAGCTCTGAGACCTACGCGGCAGTGTGATGGTCATTTCAGAACTATCCAACATCTTGACACTGGTCGTTGAGTGCATCTCTTTGTTGGAAAGGTCGCACTGTTTCGTTGATCAAACAATCTCGCTAGCTCGGTAGCGTAAGCAGCCTTGTCCTCATATTTCCCTCCACTCGAATTTGATGCCATGCAGCCCTATACGCGCGGCTTCGCTACAACATTTACGAGCATCATATCCTCAATAATGATATCCCGCCTGATGCTCAACCTCCGCGATCCGGCTCTAGCGCATCCGTCGGGTCGACCCTCGCGCGGTACGACTACGACGATGGTTACCCATGACATCAGATTTGTGCCGCCTCCGGCTGTACCTCAGATCGATACTGACGCGTCCATGGGTATGCGCGGCTAAAGATGACTCATTTCCAGGCTAATCTTGGGTTTCCAGACACAGACATGGAGCTTGGGAACCGGCTTCAAAACTGTGCAACCGGCTAGGGAGGTGCCAAGTTGAGCCATAGGGGTGGGGAAGTGGTCGCAAGGTAATAAACCTGAGTGAATAGAACAATCTGGGGAATCGGTATTCTTCTGAATGAACCCTTGTTTGACACTGTATTAAGTAAAGAAACGAAACGAAAGAGATCTAGATAACCTTATGTTTTGCAGAGAGCAGTGGGGACCGATCCAGAATCGCTAATATCGAGGTCGTAGGGCGCTGACAATTTATGGGTGTGGGGAGCCAGTGTGGTCAGGCCGACAAGTACGGACGATGTGCATGTCAGCGGCAAGCAAGAACCCGTCACACCGTAATTATGCGGAAACTGAGGCAGGATTATTTTAAATGATCTGATAGCAGGGAAGGTGAAGTGGCGAAAGTGAAGATAGAGGTTCTGTAGATCGCAGGATGGGCAGCCAAGCAAGAGTTTTTTTCGGCGCTGACAATGATCAGGAGCTTGGGCACTGCGATTACAAAGTCACACAAAGACGATGACGAGAGATTATTTCTGGCCGCCCCGCTCACATAATAAGACTGTGCACCACTGCCATGCGAAAGAGACTCTTTTTGTGTCCGAGTTTGACAATGCGAGATTGGAAATGTTGCCAAACTCTGGATTAGACTTCGTATGGCGTTACTTTTGTAAATCTCCCGGGTCTCAGCCACACGACCGAGTAGAAGCAGGCTATAATGACTTGTTGGCTCTCCCGTCGTGAGAGATTCAATGACGAGACGATGGGTGATTGACTGTCCGTCATTGGTAACATCCGATCAGGGACTTGCAGAACAAAACCGAGCGATGTGAAGGGGTAACCTGCAGTAGTTTGTCGTGCGAGACATGGGACTGCTTTGAAGCGAGAGGAGGCGAAGAGAGGTAATATTACCTTAAGATGGTAGTGTTCTGCAAGAGCGCATCCTCCGCGGCAGAGCGCAAGCTGATTGCCCAGTCAGACCTAGGGCAATTAAAGTAAGCCATGTTGCACACGAGCGGCACGAAAGGAACATACTTGTAAGTGCTTGGGTGGGAAACCAAGTCAGTCAAAGAGTATGTGTCTCGGAGATGATAAATTCCTGGGATTGATAATAGAACGAGGATTGTAGAGCAAAGACACGCAACGAAACAAAGGTCATTTATGTAATCAGTAGATATATCTCCCATACCGAGCGCTCCTGCAGGGTGGAAAAGATCGCGGGACGCGTCGTTGGCCGCAGCATGCATACCCCGCTCTCCCTTAGGCAATTCAGGCCATTTCAATGCAGTCAAACAATAGCCAGGATGGAGCGATGAACGTTACGTACCTCTAGCATCAATGATTTCGATCCATGGGAATCGGCAAAAATAAACGCGGAGTACCTAGGGCGCGTCATCGGGAACTCTTATTCAAGGATTAGTGGGGATCGCGCGAGATAAGAACCCACCGTTGTGTCGGCACGATCCGAATGGTGGAGATTTGTGCAGTGGGCACTGGGCAGGCTATGTACGCTCATCAGCGATCATGAGCGGACACAGCAATGTTGGCGACGAACATGGACCATTTCTATAGACGTCTAGCACGAGAAGAAGCGTGTCGGGCCGGCGGACAGACAAACAGACAATGGTGGCGGATGGAAGAGCATTGATGACGTGACGCGGAAGGCGTGACAAGGTGACAGGGTGAGAGGAGTAGTCGCACGCCCTCGTTCAAAGTTCAACCGGAGCTGAAAAGTCCATCGTCCTTTACTATTGACAAACTTGATTAAAAAACCTTTCCAGAATTTGCTGTGTAAAAAGAGGAGGTGGGATCAGGGTGAACGCCATGATCCATCGGGAGGACTCGAACCTCCGACTTCCTCAAATGCACAGTGCCTTTGAGATAGCGCGCACACAAAGAAAGGGTAACCCACCTTGGTCCACGATGGCTTGTTCTAGGAGGATTGTGTAGCTCGATAAATTTGAGAGCTAGATCAGAAAGAATCGAACGTACTCGCTCATCTAAAGTTGAACCAAGTCTACCTGATGAACTCGAATGCCCAACCAAGATACTCAATTCATCTCACTCACTCGAGCAGGCCGACCCATTTCTTTGCCCTGCCTGCAAAAACAAGTCTTTCCTGTAGACAACAACCAAAAACACCAATACTTCTCACACAGTACCATTGAGAGGAATCGAACCTCCGCACCCTCTGAACCCTGTGCTAACTACCCAAGAGAAGGGGGAAGCCAAGGTCGGTCCCCGATGGCTTCTTCTTATGATGTTAGGTACCTCAATAAATGTGAAAGCTTAAGGCTAGTCAATTTGAATCAAGTCTACATACCTGACGCTCAGAAACTCTGCCCCCCTCACCAAATTTCTAGATTGTAAAAAGACAGTCAGTCAATTCACTCGCTGACTCACTGTAATACATTTTCTTGGTCTGGACTCGATGCAAAACAAAACAAAAAACTCTTCGTGTGATCACTGAGCAACAACAATAAAAAGGATGACCCAACAGAGGAATGTCATGGGGAGGGATCGAACCTCCGCCTCCTTCACTAACTGCCCGAGCAAAGAGGGTGGCCAACCTTGGTCTACAATGGCTGAGAGTTCAACCAATGCCAGTCAATATGAGCCCAGTGTATCCTGTCGGTCGCGATACTCAACTCGACTTAAGTACTCGCTCACTGAACCACTGAGATGCAGGGACAGCGCAGCTCGTCGTCAAGCGTTTCCTCGCCGTGAAATTCAAGCAGCAGGCCGTGCTCGTGTTCGTTTGCGACACCGGTTGGCTTCGGCGTTACTTCCTCTAGTCCCTGGCCCACACACCCGCCGCCTTTCTTTCTCTTCACCCCCTCTTACTTCTTTACTTCTCGACTTAGCTAGAATCATACCCTGACATTACATATAACTCACTACATCCCCGTAGCATACCTCAATGCCGCTACCGTCTCTACTGTAATACCGCTCCAGGCACCTCCGTCCAAGCCCACTATTATTCTCTACGTACCACTTATATTGTAGTGCTACATGGGCGGGGCCCACGCGCACTCCAAGCGAAATAAACTAAAATCATTCGTGTGAACGACCAAAAAAAGCTTCATCCCACGATCATGCCATCGGGAGGACTCGAACCTCCGCCTCTCTCGGCATACGAATATAATTATCCAGGAGAAGAGGGCGACCAATTGGTCCACGATGAATCACTCTTATCCTGTTGGGGACCCCAATGAATATGGGTTGAACCAGGAATTCGATCATACTGACTCATACAAAGTTGAACCAAGTCTCGCCGATTTTTTATTTCAGTCAAGTCTGTCAACTCAGCCGCTCACTGGCCCACTGTGATTTATCTGGTGTGCCTGGCAATGGCAACTGACATCGCGTCCACACCAGAAAAAAATCACTTCGAAAACCGCTTACGCCATCGGGAGGGATTGAACCTCCCTCCGACCAGGTGCGGATAAGAGGGCGACCAACATTGGTCCACAATGGGTGATCTATGTACTATTAGGATCCTCAATAAATGTGAGCGTATAAAACCAATATGAACCAAATCAACCGATACAGGCAAGTGCAACCGTCCGGGATTCTCAGCCGGGGATAACTCACTTATTCCCAATTCATTCTCGAGAATTTAGTCACAAGCCAGCTCAAGCCTTCCGGAAAAACCCAACTGCGGTTTACAACGGCTGATTCTTGGATCATTGTGTAGTTCGATAAACTCATACGTTTCCTGAGAATATCGTTCCTTCCTTCCGCCATTCTGTTGAAGGAGCGGGCCACCGGCCCGTCCGAGCACGTGTCGCCACGTCTCTCTCTCGCCTCAAACTGCTCCACCACGATCTGTGCGAGTCTTGCAGTATCTTGCAGGCATTTTCCCTTGAAATGCACCCAGCATTAACGATTTCCGAGATCGTTGGCCTCATCTTCTCTGAGGTCGAAAGTTCGTCTGGACACCGCCACGGCACGAAGCGCGATCTCCTCTCTCTCGCAGCCCTGGCCAGGACCTGTATCAGTTTCCGCGACCCAGCGCTTGACCTGATGTGGGAGTATCAGCGTACCATTTGGAATCTCTTGTCTTGCTTTCCACAGGATTTAATTAGCGACGGCGATGATTCTGAATCATCCAACGAAAGCATAGAGGGCCCGGTGAGTCTGAGTCCCTGAAGGCAATGTTTGGGAATTTACTTACTATACGTTCCTGTCTGCTTTTTAGTTGCTTCATAGGCTAGCAACTGAACGCGATTGGATTCGGCCACGCATCTACGCGAATCGCGTCAAATATTTTTACCCTGGTCGTTGTGACGAGTGGTTTGCGTTCGCATCCACACAGATATTCGAATTCTGCAACTCCCGGAGACCCTTGTTTCCACGCCTTGAATTCATCCGATTGGATTTGCCATATTCAAATCCCCGTTCCATCGAACTGCTTCTTTCAAATCGCGTCACGCAGATCTATCTCACCTCCAGGGATAAGTCAATTCTTTCAGAAATCGTTCCAATGTTAACGGAAAAAGGTCCTTTGTTGACCGAAGCTGGAATTGACGCTACGAATTACACAGGGGATCCTGACTGGCCTCACGTTGTCTCGAGTTTCGTCCGAAGCTTGCAGTTCATCAAAGTCCTGGTCGTACCTACGCTCGATCAGGAGGCTTTTGAGCATCTGGGTCGCATTGAAACTCTCACGACATTGCAGCTTGACAATGCTGACATCCCTGTATTGTCCCTCCCTCCTGGGGACTACTTATTTCCCTCCGTCCATCTCCTCCACTTCGAGTCGACCACTTTTGCGAATGTCATGGCCTTTATAAACACCACACGAAATTGCACTCTGGAGAAACTCGAGATTAAATACGAACTCTCTCTCGAAGAACCGACAGCACAGGCCGCTGAACCCCTCTACTCCACCCTGGCGACCAGGTGTTGCCATGCCTCCCTCCAGGAACTTAGCATACCCGTGACGCTCGATGACCATCCCGACCCAGCCATTTTCTCCTGGGCGACGGATGGACTGCGACACGTCTTTTGTTTCAAAAACATGGTGCGCGTATGGGTTCCGCAACCCTTCGGATTCGAGGATAGTGACATTTTCGACCTCGCCGCATCCTGGCCTCGACTCGAACTCCTTGGTTTAAGCGGAGGCTACCTATTTCGTCCCCGGGTCACCATCTGCGCTTTGTATGCATTCGCGCAGCATTGCCCAAATCTCACTTTCCTGCGGATCGTTGTGGACGCAACTGTTACTCCAGCATTGAACCTAGACGAGCGTGCATTCCAGACCGAGCTGACAGTAATCGACATAACAAACTCCCCCATGACTGCGGCGCCTCCCATTGCGGCGTTCATTGTGATCCGATAGGAAACAGTACAGAACCGTATCTACTATGTGTCCGTGTCTATCTACAACCCCGTGCTCTAGCTAAACCCAATCAAACAACCCCTGTTCCCCCTACCACATGTGCCCACCACGAAATGGCGTCCCCGCCGCCCGCGTCCCGCCTTTCCTATGTAATCTCCGCTTCCAACCCGCTCCCCACCTCTTCTGCTCGCCACCTCTCCACTTCCGCCACCTCCGCTTCCCTCAATCTCGCGACCGCCTTCATCTCCTCGGCTCCCCGCTCTCCCTCCGACTTGGCCAACTCCTCCATAAATGCCGCCTGCGCTAACGCTAGCGGTGTACCGGCTCGTGGGACGTAATGTCGCATTCTTCTGGAGCTGAACGAGCCGTCCATGGGTAGTCCGTCCGCTCTTTCCAGAATATATGAGTTCATCCACTGCTGTGTGACTCGGTGCGGTTCCGACCATCGGCATGTTAGTTTCCTGGTATTGCTGACCGTTTTCGTTAAGTCACTGCGGAATACCTGAACCAGTTCTCCTGGTTTGAAGACGACCTCCCCTGTGCGTTACCCCAGTACCTTGCGGTCGAACACCTCTTTCCTGCCCGCTGCATACGCCACCCTCCCTGTGTGAGCGTCCAATAACTGCTGATCCACGTAGTCCATGTGTACTAACGCGTCGTTCTCCGCGAATCTTTCCTGCCCGCTGCATACGCCACCCTCCCTGCGTGAGCGTCCAATAACTGCTGATCCACGTAGTCCATGTGTACTAACGCGTCGTTCTCCGCGAATTCTGTCACTGCCGTCTCTATTGGTGTCAGTGGGGTATTCACGACCTTCCCGAACAACAACTCCCTCGGTTTGAGCTTTACCGATGGCAGCAATCTCCTATTGAGTATTCCGATCGCCTGTTCGAAATAATGCGGCCAGTTTTTCGGCAGGTCGTCCTTTGTGGTCGATCTCCACCCGTCCTCTCCGACATCCGGCGCACACAGCCTTGCCAAGACGTAAATAAGCAACTTGTTGGCGCCCTCCACCAAGCCGTTGATCCAAGGTGAGTACGCCGAGACGCAGTGAAATTTTATACTGCGTCTGTCGCAGAACGCTTCGACCGCTTTGTTTTTGAAGTGTTTTCCGTTGTCAACCATGAATGTTTCCATCTCTATGAAGTTGTCGCAAATGTGTTCGAGTGCGTCCTCGGTTGTATCCGCCGAGCCGTGTTCCTGGTATTTGAACCCCCAGATGAACTGTGAACACGTGTCAATGTACAACCCAACCTCGTGGAAACCGTCGAAGCCCTTCGGCATGGAAAGGTAGTCTCCCGCGACCAGTTCAAACGGGTGACGCCGGATGACCGGGTTCATCAACGAATGCAGGTGCGCCGGGCCAAACCCTTTACACCTTGCGCAATCTTTGATCGCACTGACGATTGACTCATCTAGCTTGGGGCTATGGTATTTATCCATGAGCGCCAGTTTGATACTGTCCCTGTGGAAGTGGCCCCCTTCTGCGTGCGTCTCTACCGCCTTCGCCCTTGCTTCCGCCTGGGTTAGGCACTCCCTGCGCGATCGCGCTCGCACCCCTACTCCGCCCCCCAGTCGCCACAGTTTACCCTCATCGATGAAGTACTGTGTTGCCTGGTGTCTTGCGCGTTTCCTGTCCTTCAAGCTGGAACCCAAGTCCAACTCCAATATTGCATCAATGACTTGCCGGTATATTGGTTCGTCCTTGAAGCGCTCGCGCAGTTTCATCGTGTCTTCGGGCACTGGTATGACGAGGTATGCTTGCTCTGCCTCCTGGACTGTAAAGAGGTCGTTAACGATTCCCGAGCGCGCTTCCCAGTCTGGGGATACCGTCCATTCGCTGCCATCTCCTGTCTCCTTTGGTGTCCCTTCGTGTGCTCGACTTAACACGTCTGCTACCGTGTTCGTTACACCCTTTATGTGTTCCGCGCCCACGATTTGGTAGCCCATGATCCCATCGCGCCATCGGGTGTGAGTCACGTTCAATTTATCGTTCACCATTATATCCCTGAGTGCCTGGCAGTCTGTTTCCAACTTTACCGGCTGTCCCCAAATTATTGGTGAGAATTTATCCATGGAATATTTCAGCGCTGCGAACTCCAATAGGTGTGGCGGATAGCGCTCCTCCGCGGGGGATGTACGTTTTGAGGCGAAGGCTATAGGGTGTCGACACATTGCGGCCTTGCCTCCTGGGAGTACCGTACACATTCTCTGGGATAAGACTCCTGCAAACGCATCTTTACTTCCGTCTGTCGTGACAATGAACGGGTTTTCCCCCACATCTTCAAATCTTGGGGCCTGTAGGACTGGTTCTGCTATTAGCGTACGCTTGAGCTCGACGAAGCATTTGGTATGTTTTTCCTCCCAGACGTCCTTCAACTTGTACGCTCTCATTACCGCCCTCCATGTCTGTTTCTTGGCGCCCGCCGGTACCGTGACCATTTTCAGTAAGTTGCGCAGGGGCTGCTCGCGTTTCGCGTATTTTTCTATGAGGTCGCGAAAGTATGGCGTTAGACCCAGGAAGGCGTGTAAATTGATCGCTGTTTCCGGTTGCTTCCATCGCACTATGGCGGTAAGTTTCGAGGCATCCGGTGCTACACCCTTGGGTCCCACCGTGGCCCCCGCGAACACGGCCTCCGTCATGAACAACTTGGTCTTCGTTGCTGAGAGCGACATACCCTCTTCGCGGAAGCGGCCAAATATGAGCCGCAACTTGCTCATCATCTCCTCAAATTCGTCCGCGGCAGTGCCTCCGTCGTCCACGAACAATTCCATGATTTCTTTGACCAACAGATCGTGGAGTCGCACCGCGCACATGTGACCGAGCTCGGTTGGTGCGTC